GCGAGCTCTCTGCCAAATATCTAGTCTTTGCAGGAAAACACCAGCACTTGTGCTGTCATACCTGTGATGAGTCATGGCTAAATCTAAAGCTATTTTTACATTTAAACATGAATCTACATTTAAAGAAGAAGTTCGGATGATCTAAAGCAAGACAAGATTGGTAAAGAGAGGTGACTGAAACAACTGAAATAGCCAAAAAAAGTAGACAAGGTTTCTTGAGTTTTAACCTCTGAGGCTCATGTAAAAGAAGAAAACCACTATGTTTTAGCTGCTTAAAAAGAAACTCCTCTTCCTCCAGAAGTGATGGATAAAATTAAAATCTCTTGCTGAGATAAAAGTAGGGTATTATTTCTCAGTACAGAGAATTATTTCTCTTCACTGTAGAGGTAGCAACTGAGATACCTATTACATAGCAATTATAACAACCGAGCTATAATGTAGACTCAATTCAATGTGTTTTGGTTGAAAATTTAGTCAGAATTTTCTGGAGTTGGCACTCGTGTTCTTCAACTAAGTGAACAATGCAAGACTACTTAAAAGATATATTCCCTTGTAATGGTGCAACGTGCTCTGTTTTAAAACTTCCACATTTTTAATAGATATTCTACGGTTTTACTAAAGGTCTTTAAAATATTTACTAGGTAGTATTTTGATATTCTTCTGGTGGTAAAGACAGAAGTCTCAAATAAAAAGAATGATCTAAAAATAAGTTATATGGCTTACACATTTAACTTCCAGGAAAATGAAGGCACTCCCTTCCTGATCCCACTTCTCAGGCCTAGAAGGCCTTAGAATATAAATGTATAAAAATAACTATATAGGATCAGCCCTTGTTCTCCACCCAGTTCTGTATCCCATCTCTGGCAACAGTCAAGCCCAGATGTTGTAGAAGATGGCAGAAGAAAACTTAAATAGAAGATATGGGATCACCTCCTTCTTCTGAAGTCTTGCAGCCACTAATAATCAAAGACAGTCTTCAGTCCAGAAGTATGTCATTTTATATCTTGTTCCCTTATTTTCTCTTCTAATTGGTCCTTTTAGTTTAAAGCATTTTCCTGTATTTTCAGAAGGCTAGAGAAGAATGACTGAAGGAGGAAAAAAGCTCCTGCAGTGAGTTGTTAAAATGGCAATTACCAGAGAATTGTAAAAAATTGGAGTTTCCTAAATTGGGGGATACATCATGTAGCAGAGGTACCATAATTTGGACAGAAATTCAAGTGCAGGAATGAAGCGGACAGCCTGGAAGTACAGTTGAAATTGGGCTTTGAAAAACCTGAGACTCTCTGCAGGAGGAAAATGTGTGGTTTTGTTTTTTTTTTTTTTTTTTTTGTATTTTTTTTTTTCTGGACACTGGATAAAGGCACACAATCTCACAGAAATATGGCATCCACTGGCATTCCATATATAGGTCTGGCTTTGCCCTATACATATACTGACACATATATATGAAGATATAAACACATTTTAAAATATGCATTGTACATTCAGACACTGAACAATCAGCAACGCATTTTCAGTTTATCAAAAAAAAGATCAAAAAAGACAGCAACTGTTCCTGAGCTGGAAATAAAAGATATAAATGTTTTATTTAGGACCAAGTGAGCATTCCCTCTGCATTCAGACTTATAGAAGGCTTCCAGGGTATTTAGGGTTATCTCTAGCATTTCTATTTTAATTTTGCATTCTAAAAAATATATTTGACAACGATCAGAATTGGCAGTCAGGCCAGTAATTTGACCTACATTAATGAGCGATGTGGTAAAGGGAAAGATCTGTTGTCAAATATTACAGAAATCTTGATGTATTGCATATTATCAGATGAGTCACAACTGCATTTGCTATTCGTATTCCTTCAAGTCGCACATGGAATGGCATGTTGTTTTAAGCTGGATGTAGCTGTTGAAAGCAAAGAAAATCCTACATTCTCAACATAGGATTTACACAAACTTTTCTGACCTGATCCTTAGATCCAATAGCTCAAGATGTTATTCGTACCTTCAATGCTCCATGAGTGCTACATAAGCTACCCCTAATTACAAAAATTGTTTTACCAGGTAAAAATAAATGTAGCTGTTCTAAAATCTGTAAAGATACATATAAACTGTTCCTCCATTTAACAGAATGGTACTTTGAAAGACAATTATGCAAATTAAATAATTAGTTCTTGTGCTTTTCAGTGCCCCAGTTCAATAAAAAGTAGTCACACAAATCTTTTAAGATTTCAAACACTGTTTTGGTTGCTTTAAGTGACGCCTATTTTGAAACTCAAATGAAGTACTGATGCATTTTAAATTGTGCAATTAAAATAATTTTTCATGGTTTCTAAATGGATTACTTCTAAAATTACTTGTCTGCTGAAAAAACGATTCTGCAGAGCAGTTATCTGATATCACATTTCTAGACAATGCCTGCTTTGTCATCTTGTCCTGTTTCTTGTCCTCCTTCAAATGTTTACTGAACACAGTGGCCTGTTTGAAATTATTCACTGAAAAGAATTTCTCTTTCTCTTTAGTAAACTTCAATCCCTTTCCTTTAGTAAATCTGCAGCAAAAATCCTGTAATATATAAATTAAATTTAGGTGCAGTACACAAGGCAACACTTGGGGTGTTTGTAATTAAGAATGCATTCCATATTTTGTGCCTTAAGTCCATTTATAACACAATTCACTTGGAATGGAAGGGAACATGTTATTATTAGGAATTGATTGTAATTCAGACTCACTGATGGATGGAAGAACATGGCTGAAACTCAGACCTGGAGAAATGGATAGGATTGATAAGGAGTTACTTCAGTTCATTTGCTGCAACAAATTTCTTCATAGAAGCTTTGTTTCACTTTCTGGAGCTCTTTTCCCAAAACTTTACTCTTTGTGCTTTAAGAAAATATTTACTATGATGTCCGCCTCTAGTTTTATTCCTATCTCAAAAGGAAAAATAAGAAAATTTTGTCTCCCTGATATATTATGTCCAGTGCTCTCAGAGAAGTAAGGGTCTAAAGCACAGTGGCTGGATGCTGTTTTAGAAATGAACTGTGCTCCTTGGTGCTCCAGTGACTGGGTGAGACTATCAGTGCCTACCCTGAAGCTATACGGTCGTTTTGAGGAACACAGAGGGAGGGCAGCAGAAGATACATTACAAAAATATGTTATTATTTCAGATATTTTCTCAAATAATTGTTCTTATTTCAGTGAGTTTAAGTGTACGCTTAAACAAGCTCTTCACTACTTCAAAAGATGTCTCTAAAGCCCTGCCCTCTATGTATAATTCTTTGCTTTGAATGTTCTGGTTGGTCTTTCAGAAGAAATCAGTTACTGTCAATTCAATACAAATAGGTATCGAAAAAAAGCCACTCACAGATTAGTAGTTTCAGCAAACCATTTACCCGATGATTGCTTTAGTTATCTATTTAGATAGTGAGTTCTCCAGAACAGAAATTACATTTTATTCTGCATTAATCAGGTATTCATGTAATGAGTGATTGACCCCCTCTTTGCAACACCAAACTATAAAGTGAATGAAAACCAGCAAGTCAGTAAGTGGACTCCAGGGAATTCTGTTCCTATTTGAATGCATGAGGAAGAAACAGCTTCATGAAAATTGGGACCTACAATCTAATAAAGCGATTAAGCTAATGCTACACAATATTTCTCAATGGAAGCAGTAATTTCAAGTCTTCTCCCTCTTTTGCACAAAAAAAAAAAAACCAAACCCAAACTTGTCAAAATATCTTGGAGTTTTTTGGCTGTCTATTAAACTTACTGAAAACGGCCAACAGGTTCAAAAGTTGCTGGCTGGATTACTGACAGAGGGACACAGCAGGTTTTCCTTAGGAAGTCAGGCTAATCAGATTGTTTAAAAAATATCCAAAGTGAATTAAATTTTAAATTTGCTTTATATGGAACTAAATAAAATGCTTGCAGAGCTGAGCCTTTTTCACCCTTTGTGTCTTTGCTTCCCTCCCTCACCTCCCGCTTCATATAAATAGTTTCAATTTCCCTTCTGAGCTTATTTTTTCTCAAATTGTCAACTTGGCAGTTTCCTGCTTGAACTAATCCTTTAAAAATCACGTTTAAGATATTTTTACTTATTTTCCCTATATAAATATGTGAAACATTAAAATGCAGTTTCAATATATATTTCCTCTGCTCATTTTAGTTTTACAGCAAAAGTTCCACAGGCAAAACATCTTTTGGGCTTGAACAGCTGACTTTCCTGTCATAAAATGCTAACATACAGTTCACTATATGCTGACTTATGCTCCTTTGTATGTAAGATTAATTTTCAGGTAACACTTAATCATAAAGTTATTTACCAAAATATGGAAAAATTAACTGTCTTCAGCCATGTTACTATTGTTATTTGTAGTTCAGTGAACACTGCTCTTATAAACCTCTTTTGTTACAACCTTAATTACCTAATGGACAACACTGCCAAATGTTTCAGATTGTTTTAATTAAATTAAGTGAGTACAGGGGCACTTCCTTTTCACCTACTCTGTCATTATTTAGCCAAAGTACACACATTTAATACTGTCAGATTTCCATCATAAAAAATTTTCTTCAGCCTTGCAATTTTATTTATACTGTTCTTTGAATTTCCTTTACATTCTTTAAATATTTATGCTATGTTTTTTTTCCCTGAACTAAATCTAATTTTCTGTGTATGACCTTGTCAGCACAATAAAGAAAAGGTTTTTTACTTTTTCATTAATGGTGCAGTATCTGAGCCCCAATGCCATTTTTAACTACTGTCACAGCTCTGCCTTTTCATTGTCCTAGGCAATGTCATTCTTAATTTCCCAGTGCTCCTCAGTCTTAAGAGAATTTTTTCTTAATATCTCTGGAAGAGTCTTGTGTAGAGTCCATTTTTCCCCCCAGTGCTAGATTTTCAAAATATGTCGTTCAGTCCTCTTACTTTTATTTCTCTTTTTCTTTTTTTTTTTATATATATTTTTTGGATAGAGGTAAGCAGATGAGAAGGGAGTCAGAACTGCAACTTACCAAGAGTACGAAAAGGTCTTTGGTTTGGGGTATGGGAGAAGAAACCAGGTTTCAAAGCATTTGTGATCACAATGTCAAAATGCTCTTCAAAATCATTCCTAGGAAGAAAAGGAAATCGAATCAGTTAAACTAATGAGTTAACTAAGATGCCACTAAATGCCCTTTGGGACTTAAGGAAATAGTAGAGCACTTCTTTAAAGTGCCTTTTTCTGTGACTATGCACAGGCCTACGGGGTGTCTAAGATGCCACTGGTGGTGAGCAGAGATCTAATTGACACAGCCCACCCGAGGAAGCCTGAAGAGTGGTTTCACATAGCCGAAATGCCATTTTATTAGTTGAACTCTGTCTTCAGACTCCACTGGCTTCCCCGGCTAAATCCCCACTGGTTACTGGGAGGTGAGACATGTGGCTCATGAATAAACACCCACCAAGTACGAGCCTTAATCTGCCAGCTGAATAACCACCATTAAATTCAGGTTTTTCAAAGATCATTAGGTCCATAATAATAGAGATTGATATCTGAACCTCAGAATCCCATCAATTTAAATGAGATGGAACGTTTCAGCATGGTATATAAGCGGGACTTATTTATATTTAGGTATTTTTTAGAGACCTGTATACACGTCAGTAACATCCCAAAGCCAATAAGAAAAATACACAAATCTAGGGAGCATTTATGCCACCTACCCTACTCTGAGATGGACTATTTCTGGAGGTGCCAGTTATTCCTACTCTGGCAAGGGTCCTCTTTATTTTTAAGGAATCTAACCTCACTTATTGCATCATCTGGCTGGGAACCATAGCAAGAAATAACAACAATAATGCCTACCTCCAAGTTTTAAAGTAAAATATAAAATTAGGCAAATCTTGCTTAAAAAGCGGGGGTGTGCTTATTATTGGAAAATGTAAACATTCCCCACCTGTCATGTATTTTATTGTATTAGAAATGTTTCATTGCTTAGGTGACTTTATTGTCTATAACATCCAAAAAATGATGGATACTCTTGCATGGAACAAAGAAGTCACAGATGGAAAGTCCCGGAGGCGTACAGGCACTAAAATGATATCAAAAGTAGAGCAAGTTTACTGGAAGTAAACTAGCTAATTGTGTCATTTTCAAATAATCTATGATCTCCCATGAAACTGAGATATCTTAACTAAAAAACTGAATGCTTGCCCTATGAGCTTATGTTCAAGCTTTTATTTTGTGCTCCAAATCACATTCCAGTCTTTAAATTTCCTTCCGCTAATGAAATTTTAGCTTTGTCTATTTTTCTCCACTTGTGACCACATGCAAAACTTTGAGTTTTTAAAAGAACCAGTATCAAATATGACAAATATGTGTTTTTGAAATTAGCTTCTGTGTGGAAGATTCCCGAAGTTCAGCAAAGAGGCATGGCTCTTCTGTCCTTGGGTGAAAAGCATTGATAGAGGTAAACTTTTCAAACTGGCATAGAGTGCAAATAATGCTTTCACCGGTAGGTTAAGCTTGAACTTTCAAACTAAAGCCAACACTTCAGAAGCACAACAAGGACTTATGGGAACAGTGGCAAGTTCTTTGTGTAGAAAATTTGAAACAGAATCAACACAGTTTTCACAAGATTCTGTTAATTTTTTTATAGCTTTGTTGAAGAAAAAATCCATGTTTTGTGTGAAGAGAGGTGTTATCTATGGCCTTTTTTGAATCACACCGAATCTCGTGTACAAAGCTACTGATTTTATGAGAGCCTATGTGTCCTGGGTTACTGCGTAACATTACACGTGATAAAATCAGTTTCAGTTACTGCTTGTGCTTGGTAGAATGGCCTGTGGTTACAGTAAATGGGCAAGACACAGGGCAGGATGTATCTCACAACTTTAGCCATCTAAAAACTGCATGCTGAATTCACAACTAGTGACCTACACCGCAGAGCCGATGGAGAAACATCATCAACATTCTTAGAAGGCAATTCATCCCACTTATTTCATACCTAATTCTATGGTACGGAATGAATTGCCAAGGATGACGGCCAGTGTTTTCTCTCCACTAACCACAGAGGGAACGAAAAAGAACAGCTTCAAAAAGTTCCTAGCTTTTAGATGCCTAACATTTACGAAAAAGTGAAATGACACTCGGCTTCAGTGACTGTGATGATTGCCCCATCTTTAGGTGTGCTCCTGCCAACAGTTGAACATGCGGTTAGCTGGACATGCATTCTTAAGGTAGGTGAGCCTGAAAAGTCACACCGTGATGTTGCTACTTCTGTGAATGAACCAGCACTTGCTTCTGTAGGTTTACAGGCTTTATACCCTGATTTCCCAGCGCCGATTTTATGTGGACAATGATTTCTTAGAAAAAAAGGCACTGAAATAAAGGGCAAAAAAAAATAACAGTTACAAGGTAAGGATATTAAGAGTAAGAGGCTAAAACTTCACACACAACTCCACTTTCCTTTTTTATCCTTAGGGTTTTTTTTTTTTTATGTAATACTATACAGTGCTCAACTTCTCAGCGTCATATCGATATAAAGAAGCAGGGAAAGAAATTAATAAAAGACTAAATAGACATAATTCATAAGGGTTGATATTAGGAATAAAATGCAGTTAGCCTGGTCAAATTAAAGTTAAGGGCAGAGACAATAGGTGTGAACCTAGACTATATTCCAGTATTGCAGAAAGGAGCACAGGTGTGTAGAGTCTTATTGTCTGATATGAGAGGCAGGGAACAAACAAAAGCAATAAAAAGTTTAGAATTATTTTCAGGAAAAATATACTTCAGTAACATGTAATGGACAGTGGAGTATTCAGTTCTCCAGAAGATGTCTTGGAAACCACACTGAATGAGTCACTGGAAAATATGATTGTAATAAACACTGTAGAACATCCTACACTTATGTGGAAAGAGAGTGACCCAGTATCCTTCTAGCAGAACATCGTTTGTCTGTCTTTTGGGAGGCAACTGACACTCTCTGCTACCTTCCTTACTGTCTTCCAGCAGAATCTCTACCTTAAACAGATGAAACATTATTCACCAAGGAAGAGAAAGCCAAAATCATTATATGTGGCCAAGAATTTAGTTTTATACCAAATTTTAATTCAGAAAACTACACAGAGCTACACAGAAGAGCTATTTCACAGGCATCTTATGCTTAAGGAGAACTGTTTTTTGTGAAGAGGTATATTTTCCCCTCAAAGGAGCAAGTGTAACGTTCATGCAAGGCAGTGAGAACTGGCACAGCTGATGCTCCATTTAGCGTTTAGCCCAGAGAGTACAAAAGAGAAGTGATACTGGCAGGACTGGTTTTGGAAGGCAGCTCTGTTTTTCACATTACCTGTGGTTTTCTTACTGCTTTGCTGTATTCAATCTGCTGTGCCCTTGCATATCCAGATAGCCAAGGTTGGCTCACGTTGCACCACTTTGTTCCTTTGGTTCGTTTATTAAATAGCCTCACCAGGTCACCCACCTAGCTATTTGCATCACTGATTAATTCGCTTCTATGGGTGGAAGTGATGGTTCTGCTGAATTTCACTGCATTTGACTTGCCCCGTCATGTTCTTAACATTACAGCCTAAAATAGCTGTTGTGATCATCAGCTACAATCTCAACCAATTGCCAAGTGCAATGAACTACCTGTTTTATCTTTTCTGCTGTGATCTGTAAATGCACATTTCTCATGTACAACCGTCTCTTGGAAGCCACCATTGGGAAGAAGTATTTGTAATCAGATTTACTGCAAGAAAATGAAATATTACTACAGCTTGCACTCACTATTGAAGAAGCACAGAAAGACAGCTGCTTGAGTAAGACAGTCTAGTAAAAAGTTATGATAAAAATGAGATTCAGATGATGCATCGGGTGTTGGCCTGAAAGTTATTCCCTGTCATATTCAATCCCATCATGATGCCCAGAAAAGATGCAGGATATAAGTGTGCTGTGGATCAGATACAGCTTACAGGCTCGTAGGATGACTTTGCCTCAAATACCCTCTAATACTCTACTAGGGAGATGCCCACCAGAAATCTCAGATCCAAATAATTCACAACACATAAAGAAACTCAAATTAACTTCTCTATAGCTCAGGCTTATCTCCAGTTGCTGTCTGGCAGATATAATTTGAAATGGACATTGTGCTTACCCAAGAATATGTTCACACAGGAGCCTGCAATAGTCACTGTGAGAACTAGTAATTAATAGCAGAATCTTCCCAGCACTCTTCAGTTGTTTCAGCCACTTTTTTACAGACTCGGGACATCTTTGTAAATATTTGTCTGGATGATTTTTCACTTCTGGGAAATACATCCCACAGTCTTCTAAAAAATTAAAACATAATTATGTATTATCCAATCCTGCTCACAAACCACTTAATCCACACAACAAATATCCTTTTATGTGCAAACAATACAATTTTAAAAAGGCGAAGAAAAGCCTAAAATTTTCCTTGGTTATAACTCAATATAAACCCCCAAAAAAAAGGATCCAAGAGGATACACTGTGGCAGAAATAAGTTTGCATGACTTTTCTCTTTTATTATGGAATTTTCATAGGGTTTTTTTACGTTCCTTTGCTCATAAGAGTAAATAATATGTAAATTACAAATTATAGTCTTACATGGCAAATAATTACTTCCTGTTACCTTTGCTCAATTTTTGGATACTCAGTTTGTGATTTGAAACTTAGTTTAATGTTTAGAAAATGTTAGGGACCTGAAATTACCAAGAACATCTGTTCAGTTACTTCTGACACTTTAGGTTAGCATTGTCACATCAATAACATCCATTTTAATATTTTTGCATTTTTCACAACTAGCACTTTAGCTATGAAAGATTGATAAAACAAACTGGCAAAGACTCACAAGTATGTGGAATACTAGGAGCAGATGGAAAAAAAATCCCAATTCCAACTCCAGCTTCAATAATGCTCTTTTTATCAAATATAACAGCAACAGAATTTTGCAAATACACTTGGAATGTAAGATTTTAAGAAGGGTGCAATAACACTAACTTGGCAGTAAGAGTTACCTGTTCATTAAAGTCACCAATATTTGCCTCGTTACAACCCATAGCTGCTTTACCAAGACATCATATTAACATTAAACTTACCTTTTTTTAAACATTCCTATGAACTAAGACTATGCATTTCCTCTACGCTCAAACCCTCTATAACCAAAAATGTCAAACTAGTTAAAGGTCTAAAAAGAAATGTAATAATTGTAGAGACAGAAATGATACCAAGTATTTGGCTCTCAGTCTGTGTGTGTTATAGTAAAATGAACATCATCATAGAAGATTATTTTTCTTCCAGCATTTGTTCTATATGCAACTGTCTGTGGTCAACTTTGCTGAATGATTTAATAAATCCCAGACATTACTTAGCCTTCTGGTATGTGAGTAATGCTATTCTCTAGTTTGAAAAAGTAAGATTTAAGCCACTTGAACTTTAGCTATTTAATGAAAGAGAACATGTATGTTTCAAACAGTAGTATCAAAGAAAGACTGAACGATGAGGGGTGCTAAACATAACACGATTTCATAAATTACACATTCAAACACCTATAGATGGCAGGAAAAGAAGTCTCCCAAAGTAAGGTTTGAGTTGGCCGTTATCACCGCAACTAGACAGAAGGCAAGAATGCCATCTTCTGCATTGTTACTTGACAGATTTCTTCCCAAAAGCTATAGTGGACTACTATGAGGAAAGTCTCTCAAACAAAATCTCCCAACTCATAACATTATTCCAGTTCTTCATAGCGTTTAGGTCAGGCTGATGTAGCAGCCTGCACCAGGGCGATAGGCGCCTGGTCCTGCAGGCAGGATTACGGGATGCCACGATGCCTGCCTTGAGAGCTAGCTGAGACCAATGTTTTTTTTTTTTTTTTTTTTTTGATTAAATGAAGCAGATCTATGAAAGGTTTCCTGTAGTGTTTTCCCCTCTCTCTTTCCTGGGGCATGAGTATTGCTTGGGATGAGCAGTATAGTTTTTAGGAGCAGAAGTTGCATTACTTTTTTTGGTATTATATTAGTAGTTATATTTCATATGCTATGCTATGACAGTTTTTCTTCTAATTTTGGAAAACACGCATTACAGGAGAATGAAGGGGGACACAAACAAAGCAGGCGTGGCATTAGCTCTCACAGGTTCAAACAATTAAAAGAAAGATGGCACAGTTCATTTATATATACAGTGATCTATCACTTTTTTTATCCTAAGGTAGAAAGATCTGTTCTACATGAACTTTACTGCTGGAGACTCTTTGTTTTTCTTTCCTTATCAAATGCCTCCCACCCTCCATGGACCATTCTTTGAAGTGCAACTCATTTAGAGACTTTGTATTAATGTAATCAACAGTGTCCTCTCTGTCCCTACTCTGTGCATTATCTGCTGTGTGATAAATCTGTGATATCTGGCCTTTGAGTCACATCTGCATTGGAAAAGGTCAATAACTCTGGATTCAACATAAGAGCTGAAAGGGAGTCTTATCCTAGTTTTCCATCCAGACCCGGAAGCCCAACTGTTGACTGCAGACAAGCAATGAATCAGTTCTTGACACCAGGATCTGAAGTTTGCCTCTGGGCTGTTTGCCATATTAGGCAGAGGTACCTTAGAAGAACCCTCATTAAAGCATACTCTACTGTAATTAGGCCAACATGGCCCAGGAAAGGAGAGTTTAACTTAATTCCTAACATACCCTTGTGCCTGGTGAAGACAGTTTGGTCAAATAAATACTCATACCCGTAAAGGAGTTTAACCACCATTGAAAGCCAAATAAAATAAAAGCTGAAATCCTTGCTTGTTATCCCAGGCCAAGAGCCACTTTTGAGGACAGCAGAGCCACGGGCACCTTGTTGGCAAAAAGAGTTGTGGAAGTGTTAACATATGACAGAGAAATAGCATCATGCCAAGCCTCCGCAATCAAATGGAATGGTTCAACAGTGAGAAATTAAGCATTTTTTTCCAAGGGTATATATTACCACTGTGCCATATGCTCTACTTTGTTTTTCTAAAGCAGGAAAACCATAAAAATAATAAGACAACTCTATCAAGCAAAGAGTCAGTGAGAAAGCAGAAAAGAACTAATTTTACCAGAGTCAACAAAAGGAAAGGAGGAAATGAGTTAATGGTAATAAGAGTGATTTTATGCAACTGTCATACAGCTCTGCTCTTGAAAAACAAAAAAAACCATAATTCTCCAGACAAACACCACTCTTCAGAAGTAAGAAATGTCTTTAGCCCGCAATACCTTCCTGATAATGCTTATAGACCCTCCGAGTTCCAAAATACTCGTAAAAATGGAACTATAATCAAGCTTTATGGAAGCTTTGTTGGTCCACAAAGTAACTGTATCAAAATGGGGGACCTGTGGTCCTCACCAGACCTACAACTGACAATTTGCAATCTGTACACTGCCTAAGAAAAGCTCTACATTTTTATCTCTCTGTTTTATGAGTATCACTTAACATGCGACTATACAGACATTGACGTGGATTAATATGGATCCACAAATCAGTGAAAGCCAAACAGCAATAACAAAACAAATGTCCCAACTTTCACCTCTAACGTCTCTTGTTTTCGGTTATCTGCATGCATGCCAAAGCCTACACCAGTGACCTCTGCCTCTTCGGCAGCATGAACACTTTCTCAAAATACAAAAAAGCATTTCGTAAAAAAAATGGAAACAAGAAGGCCGTGACAATCAGTGTAACAATCAACATATTTACCCCCTGTGATTGCATGAGAAAACTTAATCCAATGACGTGGAGCAGGAAAGCAAACATCTGAGCATTTTATGCACAACTTTGTAATTTATTGCGTGTATGCTGCCATGGAGCAAATGCAGTTTTTCAATTTCCATTCTGGTTACTAAACAACTTTGAGTTTATCTGAAACCTCTGAAATACAGCTTGGGATAGCAAAGGAGCAACTAGCCTCTGGAGGGATTTATAATTATCTTCCAAATACACTTTCAAAATTAATAATTGCCTTTGCAGTCCATTAAATACCCTTTCAGAAAAATATATTTCCTTTTTAAGCAGAAGATAGAAATCCAAGCAATTAAAACAACTTGTCTAAAACCGCCACATATTAAAGTTCTGCCAGAGCCTCTTATCAGATCTATGCCCTGTTGTATTTTCAAAGCAATATAATTTCCTCTTTGGGTATTATCAGAGGTTCCCTTAACGTCCAGTTCGGGGTTTGTTTTTTCTTGTCTCATCCGACACTGTAATTTGATCAAGATGTTCTTTGCATCGTCTTGTCTTACACAGTTTAATTGCTTGTAGTACAGCTGTGATAGCAAGTGTGATGGGAATTATGTATGGCTGGAAATGCAGGAGCCCCGGACCAAACTCACAACGAGCCTGTACAATGCTTGCGGGACTGGCCCAAGTCCTCCAGCACAGACAATAATCCAGTCTTTAATTCAACCACCCTGCTCTACTCCAGTCACAAAATTACTTTATTGAAGTATTCAGTTTAGCATTCTAGTAAAATACCTCTATTTTAGGAAAAAAAATAATTGTGGATTTCTCTTGTGCTCTTTATTACACCAGTTCTCCTTGGCAGGGACAGTTTGCACCCCACACCGCTCTGGACTCCTTTGGACTCAATGTCTGTAAACCCGCACCGCCAGGACACTGCAGTTTTCATCCCTTAACTGATATTTGGATTATAAAAAAAAAGGCAAATATTCAAGTGGCATGTTTCTGGCAAGGTTTCAGTCCAGAACTAAAACAGAACACAGTGTATTTTTCAGTATTGTCACTGCTTCTAAGGGGTGCCTACTTGATTGAATTCAAAAGAATTTATCCACTATTTATACGATTTAGCTAAGCAGAGAGGTATGAAGCTAAAAAAATCCCTACAATTCAGCCAAGAAAAATAAAATTCCAGCTGCCAATTTGTAGCTTGTATTTAGTGGCTTTAACAACTAACCATCTCGTACAATGAAAGTAGTATTTGGGTATACGTTTCTTCTCTTCTTTAAATTCAAAGGCAATTCGATAGCTTAACTATCAATACCCATGGCCAGATTCTCTGCAGCTCTGATGCGAATAGGAACTTGCACCTTTTCCCTAATTTTTGTCTGAATGCAGCCTTGTAGGTAACAGCTGTTTATCTGATAAACAGAGTAGAGCTGAAATAAAGTGTTACTATTAACAGTGATGCAGACGGCTATATTCATTTTATATTGCTTTTCACTGTAGTCTTACAGCACTTCAGTTTTTTAGAGTGAACAGACACTTCTTTGACTGTTGTGGTTGTCATCTTCTCTTGTCTAAATAAAGATATCTAACGACGAACATGAGCGTTCAAC